CAGAACCTTGAGGAACTCCACATCTGGTATTATAGAGTTCAGATCTTACATCATTTATTTGTACAAACTGTTTCCTATATTTCAAATAACTAGATACCCACTGTAGTGCTGGTTCTTGAACCCCGTGGGGGCCGTGCATTGACTTCCATTCATTTTCTTAGACTTCATATCCTAACCCTGACCATTTACCCTAAAATTATCCTCACTTAACCCTAACTAACCTAAACCTTGGTCCTAAACCTAACCCCACACCTGTAATTTGCATTTGGACCTGCGGAGACCTGGCATTGGTCCCCACAATTCACTTTGGTCCCCACAAGGCTTTTTTGGGAAAATTGTCCCCACGCTGTAGGAAAAAACACACACACACACACACATAAACACACACACACAGATCCAGGCTTGAAGGCAATGCTGAGTGCTTTGATTCAAATGATTCAGTTAAAGTTAATTATGATAAAATAGAAAGTTGAGTGTTCCACATTTTGGATAATATCCGACACAAAACAACCCTGATTAAGTATCAAAGATGTCAGATCAGACGTGATCCTGTTGACCACCCAACAGGAGAACGTGCAGATGTTCACAGTCTCTCCTGTAAAGCTGAAATGATGCTGAAATTCCTGAGCACCAGAGAGCCTCTGCTTTAATGCTCTTTGGGACATGTTGGTTGTACCGCTGCAGCTAAATAGGAGCTACTGCAGAACCCCAGTCCAGACTGTGGTTCTTGGCTGGTCCACTTCTTGAACTGTTTGTTTCTTCAAAATCAAACATTTTTCATTTTTTCCCCAAGATAATGATCTGTCTTCTAAGAATAATGTTTCCAGATGTGGTTGGGAGGCTCAGAGCGACCTAAACATAGAGCACACAGTTCATCCTAACTGCATATGCTGGTTGAATTAGGATTTACTTATTCAAGCCAACTCCTTCCTCACACACCACAAATGTTGAGCCGCATGTTYCACTCTTTGTTTTCACTCAGCAGATTAAGGCTGTCAGGGATTATTAACAAACAGGACCTCATTCATTTAGACAAAGGTTTCTTCTGAATTTTGTTAGTCTTTTGTGGAACAATTGATCCCTTTCAAACTATTTACAGAAAGGCTTCCATAAGGGTTACAATATTTTAAACAAAATGTAAAAGAAAGATCAAACAAAATAAACAACAACATAAAATGATATGCCACATAACCTGTCAGCGTCACAGCCAGATCGCCATRATAATATCACCTGTTTTGGAGCAGAAGATGAGTTCAAAATTTCAGTTAACCAAGGCCGGCGTCACACTACAAGAAAATCATGATCTTAAAGGGATCTACGATTAGTTGTAACATTAAACTTTATTTGATAAACATTTATTTTAACTGTAAAATAAAGAATGTAAAAATACTGTAG